GTTAAAGTGGTCATCCAAGGCATCAATAATTGTACGGTGCAATGTAGATACTAGGATAACAATACGAAAAATATAAGAAAATGTTATCTGCACTCTCGCTATCATTTTTATCATATGATTTTTATTTATTAAATTACATGATTAAATAAATGGTGCGAGAGCAAATAATAATATTTTTCAAAAAAATATAACAAATGGGGAGATTTTGCAACGAGTTTAGATCCACAAATGGGCAAAATAGGCAGTGAAGTTGTTGAGAATGAAGAATCATTAGCACTGGGATCAACCGTAAAAGCCCAACCCAAAATGAACGGACGGAAGAAGAGGGGTAGCCAGCCCATTTAGTGATCCAAATCAGCATTCGAGTACCAACTCCCCCATTAAATACTCAGATCCAGGTGATTGGGAGATCGGGCGATGGGGACGGGAATGGTGGTGAATGGTGACTGGTGGGGATGGGGATGGACTAATCAGGAATTTTATTTTTTTCAGATACTTAAATACATAGGTACTATTATGATTTATGACCAGTGTGCTGTTGCTTCACGTGACATTCATCAAACTGGGCACGTACAACAAGTTACTGGTGCTTCTACTGTTTGTTCATAACCTCAAACACGTCCGATCCCACCACCGAAGGAAAATGTCACTCTGATCTTAATGGCTACGTTGAATTTCCCGTAAAGCCGGACAAAGTTGTCGCAGTTTTTTTTAGAGTTTTTGCAGAAAAATAATTACTGTAGCACTTTTTGTTTGGATAGAGTATTATTTGAAATATTATTTGGAATAATTACTGTAGCACTTTTTGTGATGTGATGTATGTGAGATAAAAAGTTGATTGGGAATATAAAAAGGTGAGTTGGGAAATGTATTTATGATGCAAGCGAAATATTATTTGGAATAATATGTGTATCCAAACACTCATAAATTTGTAAGAATTTGATGCATATAAAATAAAAAATTGATTAAAATATGTGTTTATGAAAAATTTAAATTTTTGTTTGTTAGAAAACTGCAATTCAAAAGAAATGTATGATATATTGAAGTTGAAAGAAAAAAATTTACAATATATTGAACTTGATTCTCACGAGCGCTCTAAAGATGGTTGGTTTGGTTCTTATTGTTGTTAATGTAACAAAACTAGCATAACCGCCCCCCCCCCCTCCCAAAAAAAAAAAACAAAAGAAAGAAATGAATGGGAGGGGCTTAACTTGGATGGGTATCAACAAAATAATTTTAGATTGGAGAGAGTAACCGTTTGAATTACTAGTTTTTAAATATTGTTTGTAAAAAAAAAAAAAAAGAGTATACGGTAACAATTTGATATATAGAAAGTAGAAAGTTAATTGAAAGGAAATAAGCCGTCTAATCATGCTAATTGGAACCGCCTAATTAATAATGCCTCTAACAAAGCAAGCAGACAAACTCTTTTTGAACTTCGTTGATTTTAAGAAATTATTATTAACTCGGACGTTTTTTATAAACATATTTTTTAATTATTTTTTTATCTCGTATATATCAAATCGTTACAATATATTTTTATAAAAGAAACTCCTAAAAATAGCAATCTGAGAACAGGGGAGTGACGCTTATAGTTAGCCAAAAATGGGTGTAACCCTCAATGATTTGCTCATGCAAAGCAACTTTCGTACGCATGAATTGTGACACCAATCCGCTTGAAAAGCACTTTGCTGTCTGGTCTACTCAAGGCCCCGAAGGTTCTAACAAACTTTGAGGATCAAATAATTTCCTTTTGTGTTCGTGAAGTTTGGACGTTTTTCATAGCACTATTCAAGTTTATTAAGAACCAGAATCTATTTCAATTTCTATGAAATGTAATTAAAATTAATTTTATATGATCATACGTAACAAACATTGCATTAAACTTAGCAAAGACAAACTTATGGAGGTTTCTAGGACTAAAAGCAAAAAATAATAGTAGTCTTCTAGGTATTATTAGCGTAGAAGAATTTTTATTCCAATCTGTATAAAATTAATGCTAAACACATCAATACATTTTGAACTCTTAAATTGCCTATGCAATATTCTCAATGAAAGTACTGAATACAGGAAGGTTCCGCTTCACTTTAAAACCATCAATACCTTTTTTTTTTTTTTTTTTATCTCGTACACTTCACATTTTGAAAAGGTAATAACCGTTAAAGATTCTTAAAAAATGCTCCCAAAAACTCTCAAGAAATGCAATCCGAATATCTTCTATGGCTCCAGTAGGAGGATAGGATAATTGCCAATATACACTTGAACGTTAACTAATTATTAAAGTGGATGTGCCTTGGTTATGTACTCGTTTAGACATCTAAATTATGTTGAACTTACCATATAAATAAATGCGTGCATTCACATTTATTGTGCCCTCTATGTTTAGCTATTTTTTCAAATTAATTTCATTCTGGCACCATTAACCAAACAAATTATTAAAGAATAAATCTTATATACACTATCATGGTTAGATGCATGACACATGAATAAAATTTAAATTCAAATGAATTTTCATGCATTCAATGATGACGGTGTATACACTATCAGTGTGTGAAAGATTAATTCATTATTAAATGATAAAATATGTACAATTGCAATTACTACTTTTTAATATATATATATATACATCAAAAGTCAAATAAAGAGGGGTGAGTTAGTAACGAAAAAACTAAATGGACCTAAAGAAGTTTGCTGCTTTCTGTTGTTGATAATTGTATCAGGTAAAAAGACAAGCCAGATGCAAGAAGGAATATATATATATATATATGCAGCTGCTTTAATGAACCTGCATTTTTGTTAGTACAGCAATTCGAAAGAATGCAGTTTTTTTATCATCTCCAACTAGTAACATTTAGACACCTACCAAAAAATATTGTGGTACTGCCTCCCGTAATTCAGACCGAGTGTCAGTGATGAATTAACCTCTTTTGTTAATGGCCGCATACATAAAATTTTGCGCCTCCCCTTTCTTTGTGATGCGCTGTCCAGCGTCAAAATGCCATTTGGATAGTATAATTTGGAAAAAAAATTTATAAATATTATTTATAAACATGATTTTCAATCAAATTTTTATTTTATATAAATTACTTTGGCAAATGTATTACAATTTCAAAGCAAGGACCATAGAGCTGACCCTTTTCTTTTTCTTCTTTTTTTTTTTTTACCGTCCCATCTGCACTGCACTGTCACAAATAGAATTCGAAAATGGCAACTGGGATTTTCTTAAATAGAAAATGTTCTTTAAATGATGGGCTAGGATCGGGAGCAGTAAAATATTCTAAGAGGCTGCCGTTTTACTGTAAAAACGAGGATGAAGGTGCAGTGACGGTACCGCTCAATTTAACCCCGGCTTTACGTTACATTACAAAGGACGACCTTTTTTTTCCCCATTTTTTTCTCTCTATCATAGTTTGCACGGGCAGTCACGTGCGAGCTGAGGTACGGCGTCGACCTTTTCGCTCGCACACTCTTCTCAGGCACCCCGCCCCACCATCCACTGCTTCGTCTGCAAAACCTCTCTGCAAAACCACCATGCACCAACTCCAACACCCTCCAGTCTCCACACCCCACCCCACCACGCCACCGCTGCTGTTACTGTCCCTTAATTTACACACACAACACACACTTCAGAGGAAAAAAAAAAAGAAGAAAAGAAAAGAAAATCAACGGCAAACTCTTTTCTTACCTCCAACAATGTCCACAGGCCCCGTTGCACGCCAGCTCCTTGCAGTTGCACCTTTTTCTTTGGTACTGGATAGTTCTCCTACTCTTTTTCTGAAGGAATAGTACTCCTACTCTACTATCAACATCTCTCTATGACATCCGATAAGTGAGATAAGGACCGTGTATGCGTGACTTGAAGCTAGACGCTCCAATTCTTTGGTCTTAATCTTGATCATTGCCTTCGTTGGCTTAAAACCTACCCAACTTGAAAGTCGCCAAATCTTGTACTTAATTAAGTAATTAATGGAACCGATATCGACTTATATAAAGGTTGATTAGTACTAGTGCTTACTTGAACTTGATTTTAAGCATACTCTTTCATTATATCAACCAAGTCTGGATTATATTTACACATGAGACAAAAATTATATCTCAAAAAAAATATTCTTGCTTGAACCTACTTGGATTGTAATTTTTTTCAAAAAAATTACGTTTTCAATCATCATATTTTTCAATCACTTTTTTACTTCATAATTGAAGAATGTAATTATCTTTTAATTTTTCTAAAATATTCTTATTCCATGTAGGTTGTTATTAGCATAAACTATCTTATTTAATATAGATTGTTAACTTACCCCATTTAATACATTTAGATTTAATATGAAATAATGTAAAATGAGGACTGATTCTTTCTTGACCACCAATTCAAGCTCCCATAAACCATAAATTCAAGTTTCCATGAATAATTAATATAAAGTTGTATTATATTTAATATAAGAGTATTTTAAAAAAATAACAATCTAAATTTGTTTTTTCAACAAAATTAACTATTTTTTCTTAAACTGTGTGAAAGAAAAATTAAGACTATCAAAATGAGACAGAGGGAGCATAATATATTTTTCTATAAAAACTCGAGGGAATAACGATTCAAACGGATTATAACATATGAATTTTAATTAGAACCAAGTGACCGGTGTCCACCTTAGAACAAACATATACAATTCAAGCCCGACTTCAAACAAAAATCAAGTCAATCCATATACAAGCCCGCCCATTTAGATGGTTAACTAATTATACATTTAATCAGAGTCGATCACAAAACACATCCGATCCACGTAGAGGGATAACTTTGTACAACTGCAAAATGGTGCAGCAGCATAAATGAATCATTGATGTCACTTTAAAATCTCATGCATGCATCAATAAATATTCTACTGTGTTAACAGGATAGTAAGTAGTGTGTGTGCCCTCGAGTAGGTGTACTAGTAGAAGAGTAGTGTGTACGCATATTATTAGTAGTCGTTGTACTAATACTTCTGTGGTTGCTGTTGGTGCAGCTGCAGAGGCTGCTGCTGCTGCTGGCTGGAGAGAGTGTGAGGTGAGAGTGCTGTCATTGTTGTTATGCGGCAGAGCTTTTTGGGGTCTGGGCTATTGTGGTCTCTGGGGTCTAGTCTCTGGAGGCTGGACCCCTTAATTATCCCCAGATCGAGTCAGTTCAGTCCAGTAGTAACTATAGTCAAGTCGGTTCATTATTTTTCTCCATTCCATTTCCTTTCCTACCAATGTGCATTTTGCATATTACATATTTGCATTCTTTTCCATCATCTTGTTTGCTTCGTTTCCCCATAGGCCATACCTACGATCCCTCGTTTTCTCCCTCCATTTCTCTCTGCCCCCTTGCGTCCCTTCAGTTCTCCTTCATTCTATAGTGGCAGGTGGCGACTACTTTACTGTTCTTTCAGTGCTACTTGTATACCTATTAGGTTTGTGGGCTGTGTGCCATTATTTAAGTTTTTAACCGCTACCGGTACTAAGTTCTTACTTTAATTTTGATTGCAAGAACCTGTAATGTAGAAACTAGAGAGCAAGAGCAGAGGGCTTGTGGGATTTCCCTGTTCTTCTTTGCTGCATATTCCGCAAGAAATGGCTGGTCTGGGTAGCACCGCTAAAGCGCCTTCACTTCCACCCCCACGCCCAAAGTCACCGCCTGAGTATCCAGATTTATATGGAAAGAGGCGAGAATTAGCCAAGGTTCAAATGCTGGAAAGAGAAATTCGCTTTCTTGAGGTAAGTTCAAATGTTATTATGGTTCCCTCTCTCTTTCTCTCTCTCTTTTAATTTAATTAATTTTTTTTTTTTGGTATGTTGTATGTTTCGAAAGGGGAAGAAGAGAGGACAGAGATAGGGGCCAGAATCGAACCCGAAACAATGACTTGACCACGAGGATTGTTAAAACATAGTTCAACATTTTCTAACTCTTGGCCCCTCTCAGAAATGTCAGAGATTAATCATATAGTAGGACTTTAGCTTGAAAGATTGAACGGGACATGATGGATTAGAAGCGAAGTGTTCGACTTTATCTCATTTGTTTCTTTTCATTAGGAAGCTTTTCTTTTTAGTTTGCCACTGGAAAATCACAATCTTCTTTGCTGGCTGCAATTAGTTAAGTAGGACCATGTGCCTTTAATTGGACTATTATAAGTTCTATTTGAGTTAACTAATGTAGAAATAAGTTGGACCACTGAGTAAAATACTACTACTGTTTCCAGTAAAGAAATTGAGTTAACTTGCTGCTGATTATAGAAATTTAGAATCTTGATACACCAATAATTTGTCCAGGATCTTTGTTTTTTTTATTTTTGATGTTGCTCAGATCCCACATTCTTGCTGTTCCATCCTTTTTGGTTCAGTAGTATTTCTGCTCTGCCTTGTTATTTGTTTTTCTGTTTTGAGGTTGATCATCTCGAAGAAGAATCCAGGACACCAATTATTATAAGCTGCCAGAACAAAAAGTAGTCAGTTCGGACAAAATTCAAGCTTGTATACAGTATACCTGCTTAAGTTTTTTTAACAAGTTACTGTTTCTGTGACTGATATTGACTTGAAAGGTGCCAGCTTCCTTTACTTGTTTCATTCAACTTGCATCACGCACTTAACAGAATCCTTGCTTCTAAATGAGGAAGTTGTTGGCCTCTAGCCTCAATAATGCATCTCATCTCAGTTCTGAAGGGTGAATCCCCAGATCTCTGTTGCCCCCTTAACTAGGCCTGTATAACAGTGACATGAATGACAAGACGAGAGCTTACTGAATTACTACCATTATAGATATTTGTCATACAGTCAGTGGAATAGTTTTCCAACTAGTATGCATTATCACATTGGAGTGGCAAATTTAAAAATTTGGACTTTTATTCCTTTTTCTTTTTCTTCAAGCATCCAGGCCATTTATGGATAAGAGGCTAGTAATGTAACGAAAAGCATGAACCATTCATGCTGTTTGGAACTGAAATTTCAATTGGAAAATTCTCCTTTTGAGTGATTTCGGGTTCGTGTTCAAATTCTAGTTTCATCATTCCTTTAAATTTTTTTTTAAAATTTTAATATGACCATGGTTTATCCTCTGAATCCTTTGTCTAGCATTTGGCAGCCCAGAAAACAATCGAACGTGGGAATGAAGTTTCGTTTATTTCTTCGTATCTCAAATTAGACTAATTAAACTGGCAGTCACTCTTTACATTTCATTCTCTATGAACTGTCGTTGGCATATTATTGACATCTTCATTGTAAGCAGGACGAATTAAAATTCGTTGAAGGCCTTCAACCTGCTTCCAGATCCTGCAAGGAGTATGTGTAAATTTTTGTAAATGCACCTTTAAAGTAGTTCATTAGCAAGGCTCGTCAATTACATGCTCTTTCCATAGTTGTGAATTACCTAATAAATAGCTTCTGATTCCCGTCTTACTCAATGAATTTGACAACTTCACAGCGTTGCGGATTACGTAACAGCAAATTCAGATCCTCTCATGCCAGCGTAATAAGCTTTCAACAGTCCTTTTTAATTACCTTGAGAAGTAACTACTGTTGTCTTACACGATCATTCTTTGTGGCAGAACTAAGAGAGTTCATAGATCTTGTTGCTTCTGGAAATGGCTCTGGTATGTTCTGCTCATTGAGTAATAAGGGTTACTTTTCTCACGTTAGATATTCAAGGAACAAGGCAATGACTTTGTTTTGGCTTAAATAATATGAAGCATGGTTTGTTTTGGCTATGTTTATACTACCTGTTAGTCAGTGACTAAAGAACATCTTCAAACGTTTTTTTTTTTTTTTCAAATTTTAATTTTATAAATTCCCCTGCATTTTCTTGATCTGTTTTTTCTGATGCCTTCCATCAACATTTTGATGCATGCAAGGCCGAATATGTGTATTAAGGTACATTTTCCTTTGTGTACAGTGGATCATCATGCTTCAGCTTTTCATGGATTTGCTGTCAAGGCTGTGTCCCTCATCTTGAGATGCCGCGCTGCTGTGGTTGTAGTAACTTGTGTGATTGTAGTATATCATCGTCGTGCCCATCATCCTGCCCATCCATCAGATGTTCAAAACCCAAGTGCCACTGTTGCTCCTGCTCCTGCTTCAGTTCCCAGTGCTTTAGAAAGCCCGCATGCGGCCTAAGCTGCCGCATTCCCAAATGTCCTTCTTGCTCTAACTGCTGCTTTTGCAATGGATGTACATCCTGTTACCCTAAATGTCTAAAGGTAAACCTTTGCAATGGATGTTGTACAAAAGGCTGCTGCTACAACTGCTATATATGTTATTAGCACATCATCAATTAATAAATACACTAAAAGAAGCTCAATTTACAATACCCTCTTTTCTCAATTTTTTATTTAGGTTCTTCTGCGTTTATTCCTTTTGATGTATTGAACTAGAATAGTTACACCACTTCTCTGCATTTTTATTACCATTCTCTTTCCATCGGGTACCAAGACAACTTCACAAGCAGCGCACGATTTCCGGGCTTTGAATCAAGTGCAATTGGCACCATTATACTCCAAGTTGTCGATAGAAGTGTGGTCGCACCTTTTTTTTTCCCTTGCTCTCTGGTTATGGTACAATCGTGTGCTTGTATTCTTATTGCATTCCCAAAATGACTTGTTGGTTTTTGGTCCCTAGATCAGCTAGCTACCCTGCAAAGCAAATTTGTAAATCATGTTTACCTTGAACGAGAATTGTTAACATATTTACAAGAAGTCCTATTTTTCCATGACATATTTGGCCCTCAACTAAACTTGTTTGATTGCATCAAAAAGAAGCTTTGGGAGAGTTCTCAATCACTAATGTTCAGCAGTAGCTGGATGTGGATCAAGCTAGCAATGGGACGGGTGAGGCTGAGGCAGGGATCCCCCTGCTCCTTGCTTTTTCCATGTTCCCGTAGGAGCACCGCGGTTGTGTAATTATATTTTTATTTTGACATTATTCTATACGCACACCCCATCAATAACAACATTGTAAATCACTTGTTTAGATTCTTAACTAAATATTTAATGTCAAATCAAAGGTTAAAAATTACTTTAATCTTTTTTAATCCATTTCTCTACTTTTAATAGCAAATCTAAACTTATAATTATCATATTTGTTTACATAATTTACACTATGTAAAGAAAAATTGAAGTAAAAATAACCAAATAATCATTTTATCATACAAATTATGATATACGTGTGCGCGCGTGTACACACACTCTCTCTCTATTGATATGTAGTTATAATGTGTATATGTGTAAAAAATTATATATAGGTTTTTTAAAAAAAATTTACATTTATAACGAGGGACGGGATGGGGGTTTCCTCACACGCCCTTTTAAACCCCGCCTCCGTTGTCACCCGTACATCAAATTGTTTTGGCCACGATTACGATCGTTAATTTTCTTCTTTTTCCTTGGGGATATATAGTCGATAGCTTTTGGTATTGTTCTTTGTTGAGCCTGCTCAACATCTACCCACAAGATTAACAAATTTGACTCCTTGCTATATTGGATTAAAAAAAATTAGAAATTTTGGGTTTAAACTCCTCTTTTCCCTTCTCAACTTCTTAAATTTTATTCTTTCCCTATTAGGAAAAAAAATTTAAATATTTGAAAAAAAAAAAAAGGAATTCATCAAGTTACATCAAACCAAAACACTGAAAATGCGGATGGTTCACACTGAAACAGCAAAAAAGATGAATTCGTCAGGCTCAGGCATGACCGCCGAATGACATGTTATATTATTTGTGTAGTTATGGGCCGATATTCAGTTGAGAGAAAGCATCAAACCTGCATACCAGGGCTACATATATATATATATATATATATCTCATTTCAAGATCCAACTAACTTATAAGTACAAACTTTCAGCGCTGCTTTGTTTTTTTTTTTCCTCTACTAAAAATTCGCCAGAGCCCGATGATCTTCTGAGCATCAGAAGGCATTTTGTAGCTTCTGTCCTTAAGCTTGCGAGGGCAATATTATAAATTTAACCCTTTTGGGGGCTGAGTTAAAATCATAAAGACGATCGATCATTCACTGCAACCCTCCTGACTGTGTCCAGGAGAAGGCAACTGGACTCCTGACTTGGTGTTCAGCATTGGTCCAAGCAATTGAACCAAATGCATCCTTAGTCATTGGACTTGCGCCCTTCTTGGAAACAAATGTGACCGTGTATCGCTGCTTTTCTCCTACACTCTTGAAAACAAGCTTAGATGGCTTCACTGTCACCGCCACAGTTGAAGGTGCTTCAACGGTGGATTGGTAGATGGATGCTGCAGCTCCCACATTCGTCAGTTCGCGGGTATATCGCACGACTCTGGTGCTGTCGAATAGAATAGAGAATGATGGATAGTTGAGGTGGCCAGGGTCTTTAAATTTCCTGGAACAGGTGACGTTCGGGCGCTTGACTATGCTCTGTATTTGCTCAGGGGCATAATTCAAGGAGCAAAGGAAGGCAACGTAGTCATCTGGAGTAGCGTCATAGACAAGGCCTGGAGAAATGGCCTTGTGGGGGTCGACATGACCAGCCCCATGAGCCAATGGGGTGGAAATTGTAGCATCCGCAGCATCGCGCAGAGGGGAGTTGGTGTTGTCCTTAGTATAGGCAGTAGTCATGAGTGCAGATTTGATTGCACTTGGACTCCAATCTGGATGTGCTGCTTTCAGCAGCGCTGCCAATCCGCTAATATGCGGGCATGACATTGATGTACCTATACAATTCATTCATTCATGAAAACAACTACTTAATCAATGATTATTATAAAAAAAAAAAGAAAAAGACCATTGTAAAAAGTGACGCATATTCCCATGCGAAATTCTTCCTTTGGAAAGAGCATATCAAGCCGTTACTATGCGGGTCCACTAATTGTATTCATTTTGACCCATAATAGTACTTGCAACTAGTAATGTAATGCACGCCTAAAACTTTTTGGGACCATCATCCCGTAGACTGCTGTTTTAACTTCGACCTTTCAGTCCCCCCCCACTTAGACCTGAGAATCGATATGTTCACCGTGCAACATTCTCAATAAAACATTTTCATATGTTTCTCGTCACTGTTTTACTAACTTTATATGCATCAAATCAAATCTTTTTTAAAAAAAAAAAGAAATTCAGAAAATAGCAGCAATACAAACGGACCTAAAACTCAAGGTAGGAGAGAATCCATTACCATATAATGTCGTTGTCTCCTTAGAAAATCACGCCATGGTTCTCTTGGTATGGCTGGCTTTAATCATATTGTCTAATTGGCATGATCAAAAGGACTGATGATTTGTTTTTTAACCCATGATTTCAGCATGTGCTAACTTTACTTTTGTCAGCTAATTCAGTCTCATTAGCCTAAAACAAACTACCACTCTTTCCCACTAACAAAATATCCAATTAATTAGAGTATCACATAAGACTTTACCATCTTTCTAACAGAAAAAAGTAACGATAACAGATCAAGCTGCAACAACGAGCACCCTTTAAGAAAAAACTCCCACCTCTAAGAAAAAAATTTTTTTTTTTTTAAAAATCAGGTGAATATGTTCTTGAGATCCACGATTAACATATAATTTAATCGAATTGAGAAACATATAAAAAGAGATTTAAAAAAAAATAAAATTGAGCCGTTGCTTGAGCTCACCAGACATGATGTTGAACAGAGTTTTCCTCGTATCCTTCTGAAGCCCAGTCGGCCCAACAGCCTCAGACCAAGCAGCTAGGATGTTGACTCCAGGTCCAATCACATCTGGCTTCAGGATTTGTGGGGTCACCATATTGGGCCCTCTGGAGGTAAATGCTGCCACCACCGGCGACGGCTTGACATTCACCACCGTCCCACCGAAGCTGAGCGCCGCCGTGGGGTTACTATTACTCTTCACATACTCCCTTATAACATCACCAACCTTCCTCCCCACCGCCACAGCCGGCAACAGATGACTATCCGCCACCAGCTCCTCCCCACTAGCCTCCGTATTAGCTAATATCATCCCGATCCCACCAGCATCCCTCACCACCCCACCCTTCTCCACCCTTGCGTTAACACCTCTATCACACAAGACAACTTTTCCAGTCACTTGGCTGGGATCGAGTGAACCCGGCATGCATAAATTACTCGAGACATTGTTACCCCTGTTGTAGACCAAACCCACAGATTTTCTCCCCATCCCTTTCCCGCTGTACAACGAAACGCCTGCAAATTTCTGGCCACTCCCGAGTACAGCATAAGCTGGGAAATCTCTGTCTATGGTTCCGGCTCCAACCGTCATTATCCAAGGAGCCAAATTAGCCAACGAGGCCTTAGCTGGGCCGCTATTGCCTGCTGAGCAAGACACAAGTATGCCCTTCTCCATAGCTGAAAATGCTCCTATTGCAATCGTATCCCGATAGTAAGGCCCAGAGCCGCCACCTAGTGATAGCGAGAGCACATCAACCCCATCCAAAATCGCACGCTCCATTCCTGCAAGAATATCAGAACCAAAACATCCAGATGTCCAGCAAACCTTGTAAGTGGCCACCCGGGCGTGTACGGCCATGCCTCGGGCAGTTCCGCTGGCGTAGCCGAGAAGGCTAGCATTACCTACAGCAGACCCAGCAGCAGTGGACGATGTATGAGTACCGTGACCGTCGTGGTCGCGAGGGGATTCGGTTTCTCTCGACGGTTTTTCCCCAGCGGCCATGTGGTAACCTCTGGAGAAGAACCTTGCACCTATTAGCTTCTTGTTGCAGTGTACTTTTGGATTGAAATCCACGGCACTCTCACACTGGCCTCGCCATCTGGATGGGACATCCGGCAGGCCCGCGTCAGAAAAGCTCTTGGACTCGGGCCATACGCCAGTGTCCAGGACGCCAATGATGACGTCCTGGGAGGCCTGGTTGAGTTCTTGCGGGGTGTGGCCAGCCCACAAGCCGAGTTCAGAACCCAAGCCGAGGAATTCTGGGCTGCGGGTGGTGTGGAGTTGGTAAACTGCATCCTCGTAGACCCCGAGGACCTCATCGGATTGACGGAGAGACTCGGCCTCCTCGGGGTCCAATGAGGCAGCAAAACCATGGTAAGCGGTGGTGTAGGAATATACTATAGAGTCAGGACGGGAGGAGGCTGTGAGGGACTGAAGGCGGTCGCTGTACCAGTCGGTATGAGTAGAGTAAGACGGAGGCTTTTGGTGGTGTTTCATTTGGACTAAGTAAGTCTTTTTGGCAGAAGTGGGAGTGATGAGTAGACATGATTGGAGAAGAAGGGCAGCGATACAGGAGGACCAGATCGCAGAACCCCCCATTGGTGCGTTGTAAAGTAAAAAATTAAAAATCAGAGAGGAAATGAAGGGTGAAATTAATGGGCTGAATGAAGTTGGTTAAAGATCACTCTTAAGTAATTAGTAAGTCGGGTTGTTGGCGGGTTGTGTGAGTTGTAAAGGGAGGGGCGGGGGTAGGGTTGGTCTGAGGGGAGTGGGATTTTTGTTGGCGGCTTGTGTGAGTTGTAGAAGAAGAAGAAGGACGAAGGAGCGTTGAAATGGAAGAGGAAACAGTCGCCGTGAAGTACGACTGTCAGAAAGGAGGGGATGGATGGAGGTGGAATGAACGGAGGACTCTTGTCGGGTTTATAAGCACGAAATGCTAATTTACGAGGCTTGGAGTTTGTGTTTCTTACCGTAATGCCACTACCGCACAGCGGTTTTCCCTACGATTGGGGGG